ACCGTATACACCTTTCTACGTGGTTGGTATTACAGCTGGAGGGTTCGGTGGACAGCGTCCCACGGGACGTCACCTTGCCGTCTCTTGACATTACCTGATACTTATTTCAATCCATAAACCTTACCAAAAACCTATTGTAAGGTTTATGTTTCAATCCATTTCAAGGATTTTGGATAATTTGGGAATTTTTGGATTTTGGGTTAATTTGGGTTTCGTTTTTTAGGGTTTTCATTTCAAGGAATTTATGGGGTTGTTTTGGCTTTAGTTTCGTTGATAGGTTGCTTTGTCTTCTGTTTGTTCGTTTCCTTGTTCGTTTCTTTGTAGTTTGTTTGTTGGAAGGGGGGGGTGGTTGTTCTGTTTTATGTGAAATGGGTGAGGTGATTAATGTTGATGCTGTTATGATTTTGGTTTGGAATGGATGAGGTGATGAATGATGATGCTGTTCTGATTTTGGTTTGGAATGGATGAGGTGATGAATGATGATGCTGTTCTGATTTTGGTTTGGAATGGATGAGGTGATGAATCTTGATGCTGTTCGTTGTCTGTTTTTGAATTTGGGTTTAATATGAATGAAATATTATGAATGTTGATGCTGTTTTGTTTTGTTGTTGTTTGTTGCCTGTTTTGTTTTATGGTTTTTAATTTTTTGTATTTTGTTGATTGTTATGAAATGTATTTTACTTCATTAAACATATGTTTTACTATTTCCCCCCCCCCCCCGCTAGATATTGAATTTTCTACAGTGATTTCATTGCGCCTGGCCTGAATCATCACTTCTTCGAACATCATGGGCCGGGCGCTGCCGCCTCCCCAACCCCCCCGCTACTTTGCGGATTTCTACAGAGATTTCATTGCGCCCCTATTTGAATCATCACTTCGAACATCATGGGGGAGGCTGCTGCCCCAGCCCCCCCGCTACTTTGTGGGTTGTCTACAGAGAATTCATCGCGCTTCCATTTGAATCATCACTTCTTCGAACTGCCGCCCGCCCCAACCCGCCCGCTATCTTTTCAATGGTGGTTGACAACGCGTATGACTTGATGGTAGTGGGCAACAAATATGACTTTCATGAGGGTAGGCGACGCGTGTGTTTTCATGGTGGTTGACAACGCATAGGGTTTTGTGGTGGTTGCGTTGCCGGTGGTTGGCAAGGCATATTTTTCATGGTGGTTGGCAACGCATATGGTTTTTCATGGTGGTTGGCAACGCATATGACTTTTCAAGGCGGCTGGCAACATGTATGATGTTATGGTTGGCAACGCATATGATGATGATTTTTCATGGTGGTTGGCGGCGCATATGATTTTTCATGGTGGTTGGCAACGCATATGATTTTAAGCTTGTTGGCGACGCATATGATTTTTCATGGTGGTTGGCAACGCACATGACTTTTCATGGTGGTTGGCAACGCGTATGATTTTTCATGGTGGTTGGCCACGCATATGATTGTTCATGGTGGTTGGCAACGCATATGACTTTTCATGGTGCTTTGCAGCGTGTCTGAGGTTTTATGGTGGTCGGCAACGCGTCTGAGTTTTCATGATGGTTGGCAACGCGTATGACTTTTCATGGTGGTTGGCGACGCATATGATTTTTCATGGTGGTTGGCAACGCGTGTGATATTTCATGGTGGTTGGCAACGTGTGTGACTGATTTTTTGGTGGTTGGCAACGCATATGGTTGTTCATGATGGTTGGCAACGCATGTAACTTTTCATGGTGGTTGGCAACACGTGTGTTTTTTCACGGTGGTTGGCAACGTGTATGACTGATTTTCATGGTGGTTGGCAACGCGTATGATGTTTCATGGTGGTTGGCAACGCGCATGACTTACCATGGCGGTTGCAAACGCTTTGATTTTTCATTCGTGGTTGGCAACGCATTTGGTAATATGATGTTACATGGTGGTTGGCAACGCGTATGATTTTTCACGGTGGTTGGCAACACGTGTGATTTTTCACGTTACCAACGATTTTGAACAGTGGTTGGCAACGCATATGATTATCCAGGGTGGTTGGCGGCGCATATGATTTTTTCATGGTGGTTGGCAACGCATTTGATTTTTCATGGTGGTTGGCAACGCACATGATTTTCCATCGTGGTTGGCAACGCATATGACTTTTCATGGTGGTTGGCAACGCATATGATTTTTCATGGTGGTTGGCCGAGCGTATGATTTTTCGTGGTGGTTGGCAACGCATATGATTTCTCATGGTGGTTGGCAACGCATATGATTTTTCATGGTGGTTGGCAACGTGTATGACTTTTCATGGTGGTTGGCAACGCATCTGATTTTTCATGGTGGTTGGCAACGATATGGTCTTTCATAGTGGTGGGCAACTCATATGTTTTTTCATGGTGGTTGGCAACGCGTATGAGTTTTTATGGTGGTTGGCAACGCATATGATGATGACTTTTCATGGTGGTTGGCAGCGTGTGTGACTGATTTTTTGGTGGTTGGCAACGCATATGATTGTTCATGGTGGTTGGCAACGCATATGATTTTTCATGGTGGTTGGCAACGCATCTGCTTTCTCATGATGGTTGGCAACGTGTGTGACTGATTTTTTTGGTGGTTGGCAACGCATATGATTGATCTTGGTGGTTGGCAAAGCGTATGATTTTGCATGGTGGTTGGCAACGCATATGACTTTTCATGGTGGTTTGCAACGTGTATGATTTCTCATGGTGGTTGGCAATGCGCATGATTATTCATGGTGGTTGGCAACGCGTATGATTTTTCATGGTGGTTTGCAACGCATATGATTTTTCATGGTGGTTTGCAACGTGTACGATTTTTCATGGTGGTTGGCAACACAAATGACTTTTCATGGTGGTTGGCAACGCATATGACTTTTCATGGTGGTTGGCAACGCGTGTATGATGTTTCATGGTGGTTGGCAACGCATATGATTTTTCATGGTGGTTGTCACTGCATATGATTTTTCATGGTGGTTGGCAACGCATTTGACTTTTCATGGTGGTTGGCAACGTGTCTGAGGTTTCATGGTGGTTGGCAACGCATGTGATTTTTCATGGTGGTTGGCAACGTGTGTGACTGACTTTTTTGGTGGTTGGCGACGCATATGATTATTTATTGTGGTTGGCAACGCATATGATGTTTCATGGTGGTTGGCAACGTGTCTGATGTTTCATGGTGGTTGGCAACGCATATGATTTTTTTCGTGGTGGTTGGCAACGCATATGATTTTTCATGGTGGTTGGCAACGCGTATGTTTTTTTCATGGTGGTTGGCAACGCGTATGACTTTTCGTGGTGGTTGGCAACGCATATGATTTTTCATGGTGGTTGGCAACGCACATGATTTTCCATCGTGGTTGGCAACGCATATGACTTTTCATGGTGGTTGGCAACGCATATGATTTTCATGGTGGTTGGCAACGCATACGGTTTTTCATGGTGGTTGGCGACGCATATGATTTTTCATGGTGGTTGGCATGGCAACGCATATGATTTTTCATGGTGGTTTGCAACGAGTGTGATTTTTCATGGTGGTTGGCAACGTGTATGACTTTTCATGGTGGTTGGCAACGCATATGATAACATGACTTTTCATGGTGGTTGGCAACGCACATGATTTTTCATGGTGGTTGGCAACGCATATGATTTTTCATGGTGGTTGGCAACGCGTATGATTTTTTTCATGGTGGTTGGCAACGCGTATGATTTTTCATGGTGGTTGGCAACGCATATGTTTTTCATGGTGGTTGGCAACGCATATGACTTTTCATGGTGGTTGGCAACGCGTATGATTCTTCATGGCGGTTGGCAACGCATATGATTTTCATGGTGGTTGGCAACGCATACGGTTTTTCATGGTGGTTGGCAACGCGTATGATTCCTCATGGCGGTTGGCAACGCGTATGCTTCTTCATGGCGGTTGGCAACGCATATGATTTTCATGGTGGTTGGCAACGCATACGGTTTTTCATGGTGGTTGGCAACGCATATGATGTTTCATTGTGGTTGGCAACGTGTCTGATGTTTCATGGTGGTTGGCAACGCATTTGATTTTTCGTGGTGGTTGGCAACGCATTTGATTTTCATCGTTTTTGGCAACGCATATTTTTTTATGGTGGTTGGCAACGCGTATGATAACATGACTTTTCATGGTGGTTGGCAAAGCATCTGATTGTTCATGATGGTTGGCAACGTATATCATTTTTCATGGTGGTTGGCAACGCATGTGATTTTTCATGGTGGTTGGCAACGTGTGTGACTGACTTTTTTGGTGGTTGGCAACGCGTATGATTGTTCATGATGGTTGGCAACGCATATGACTTTTCATGGTGGTTGGCAACGCATGTGGTTTTCATGGTGGTTGGCATGTATGACCCCTAAACATTGTTAAATCCAGCCCTAAACACGAGCGACCCTCAAGCCTGAGCAACAACTTCAACCAAAAAGTTCTAGCAAAACATAGCAGCCAACAATTAACAGAACAACATACAAGTTGTGTAAACATGAATAAGGTAATGTTCAACCCTCAGGACAAACTTAATAACCCTAAACAAAATATAGGCTGTTAGAGAATGAACAAGACCTAGCGCCCTGTCCTAGGAGCCTCCTTTCGCCTAATATCTCCTCCCTGCATAGCAACCCCCCCATCCCCCCCCGTTTTTGCACAACAACTCCCAAGCGCAAAGCGGTTTCCATCTTCGTGCTGTGCTAGCGTTCCTCATGCCAGGCAGGTCCACAGTTTTCTGCTTTGACCAATGGTACGGACGCTGGAACGCAGCGCTGCTTTCTGCTTTTTCACTGCCTCCTGCTGTCCATGAATGATAGTTCAAGTTCGAGCTAGTTCTAAACCAGCTTGAATTCTGGCCAGGTTTGATGCAAGAGGTTTGAATATGTGGCGTGGCTCAGACTTTCACTTACAGCCCAGAGGATCGCCCACCAGTTGGTGATTGTTGCTTGGACGGCACTGAGCTTGTCAATCTGACACCTGCCAGCGCACGCTTAGGCTCTACGGGTTTTGCTATGGCTATGACTGTGCGATTGCTTCTGGTGGTGTACGTGGGGATTGCAGCAGCTGTCTATCAGATGTCTTATGAGGCATGCAAGCGCAAATCATGTTGCTACTGCCCTAGAGACACATTGAGCCGCGCAGGCCGTGGTGCTCTACGAGGGCAGCGACAAAAATGACGATTTTGGCAAGGTTGTCAGCATTTCAGGCCGTTTCTCGCGGATTTTTGTGTATTGGCTGATTTCCAGAGTTTACATTTCGGAAGAGGCAACTTGCTCGCGGTTGGTGCTCCTGGCGAAGATGTGAACGGGACAGACGCTGGCGCCGTGTACGTGTACTCCTGGCGTGTCCCCCAGTTCGGGATGGCAGCTGTCCAAAGTGTGCAGATGGTCGAGGAGGCATGTCCAGTGGCCGGAAACGTTAGGAGCGGAGCGGAATGGCTACTGGATGCCCGTTTGGTTTCTTCCGACATCGCGCCCGGAGACTTCTTTGGCAACTCTGTCAAGATGTCAGGCAATTGGGCAGTGTCAGGCAATTTGGCATTTGACAGGTGTAGTTGGTTTATGTAGTGTAGTTTGTGGGGGGGACGCAGCGCAGGTGATCATCTCATCGTTGGAGCAGAGGGCCACGATGACAGTGGCCTAGCAGATGTCGGGCTCGGGGCCTTAGACCGCGAGTTATGTGAGGTTCGGTCCAACTGGTAGTCTTTGGTTAACTTGGGAGGGGCAGGTGGGGAATCACTTGATTTCCCACAAACTCTGTGCGCTCTTGAAACCAGGAATTCTGAACGGAGCTCATATCAGTGTGAAAGTCTGAAATCATTGGGCTGCGCCCTGTGTTGCAAACTTTGTTTCCAGGTCTGCGTATGTTTTCCGGAAGAGTTCCGGCGCTTGGGAGGAGCAGGCGGGACTGAAAGAGGAAGCGAGAAAGTCGGGTTCCAGCTTCCTCTTTCAGGCAAAGCTGGTGGGCAGCGACTCGGTGGCTGGCGACAAGTTTGGCATCGCGGTGAGCATCACGGAAGCCTTCGCCATCGTCGCTGCAGCGAAACGGACAGTTTGAGCTTCACAAAAAAACAGTTGTCGGCTTCCTTCTTTTGTCGCGGTTTCGGAGTTCCGGTCCGGTTTTCGTCAGTGACCAAGGTGGGTGCTGATTGGCACACGGGGCCGGGCGGGACCGGAAGCGGTGCAGCCTATGTGTTTGCATATGATGGCAGCTGGAATCAGGAGGCCTGAGCTAAACCTTTCCTCCCCCGAGATTGCTGTTCTGCTGTTGAGGGCGCAAAGCAAGGTGTTGGCCAGGGGGTGGGGGGCTTATGACCCACAACAACTGCAACGGCAACCCAGAGATATCCCTTCAAGACGCCTTTGAGGGACTGCGAAGCTGGAGACGGCGTCGCCAATCGGCAAGACATTTCGAAAGATACTAACCCCTCCCATCGAGGAACCATCGAGAGACAGTGAGAGCCAACGCACCCAAAGTGCGCAGAGAGTCCGCTTTGCGCTCCCAAAACGCACACCGCGCCACAGCGAGAGGAACCACCCAAAGTGCGCAGCTCATTTGAAGCCACTGTCCACATATGAGCCACGGACAAAACACGCGTAGACCACTTTATCAAGACGGGGCACGCTTTTGAGTAACACATCCCAAAACCATGGAAAACGATGAGGTCTCCCCCAAAAACGATGACCCTTAACGAACACACGGCTCTGTAAATACGACACTTGTACTGAGAAGTTGCGATTTTCGAGCTGGAGATGCGGAAGTGTACTTCGCGTACAGCCTAGGCTTGTACTACAAAGCTGCGATTTTCGAGCTGGAGCTGCGGAAGTGTTCTTCGCGTACTAGACTTGTACTACAAAGTTGCGAATTTCGAGCTGGAGCTGCGGAAGTGTACTTCGCGTACTAGACTTGTACTACAAAGTTGCGATTTTCGAGCTGGAGAGGCGGAAGTGTACTTCGCGTACTAGACTTGTACTACAAAGTTGCGATTTTCGAGCTGGAGATGCGGAAGTGTACTTCGCTTACTAGACTTGTACTACAAAGTTGCGATTTTCGAGCTGGAGCTGCGGAAGTGTACTTCGCGTACTAGACTTGTACTACAAAGTTGCGATTTTCGAGCTGGAGCTGCGGAAGTGTACTTCGCGTACTAGACTTGTACTACAAAGTTACGATTTTCGAGCTGAAGATGCGGAAGTGTACTTCGTGTACTAGACTTGTACTACAAAGTTGCGATTTTCGAGCTGGAGATGCGGAAGTGTACTTCGCGTACTAGACTTGTATTACAAAGTTGCGATTTTCGAGCTGAAGATGCGGAAGTGTACTTCGCGTACTAGACTTGTATTACAAAGTTACGATTTTCGATCTGAAGATGCGGAAGTGTACTTCGCGTACTAGACTTGTACTACAAAGTTGCGAATTTCGAGCTGGAGATGCGGAAGTGTACTTCGCGTACTAGACTTGTATTACAAAGTTGCGATTTTCGAGCTGGAGCTGCGGAAGTGTACTTCGCGTACTAGACTTGTACTACAAAGTTGCGATTTTCGAGCTGCAGATGCGGAAGTGTACTTCGCGTACTAGACTTGTACTACAAAGTTGCGATTTTCGAGCTGGAGATGCGGAAGTGTACTTCGCGTACTAGACTTGTACTACAAAGTTGCGATTTTCGAGCTGGAGCTGCGGAAGTGTACTTCGCGTACTAGACTTGTACTACAAAGTTACGATTTTCGAGCTGAAGATGCGGAAGTGTACTTCGTGTACTAGACTTGTACTACAAAGTTGCGATGATCGAGCTGGAGATGCGGAAGTGTACTTCGCGTACTAGACTTGTACTACAAAGTTGCGATTTTCGAGCTGGAGCTGCGGAAGTGTACTTCGCGTACTAGACTTGTACTACAAAGTTGCGATTTTCGAGCTGGAGCTGCGGAAGTGTACTTCGCGTACTAGACTTGTACTACAAAGTTGCGATTTTCGAGCTGGAGATGCGGAAGTGTACTTCGCGTACTAGACTTGTACTACAAAGTTGCGATTTTCGAGCTGGAGATGCGGAAGTGTACTTCGCGTACTAGACTTGTACTACAAAGTTGCGATTTTCGAGCTGGAGATGCGGAAGTGTACTTCGCGTACTAGACTTGTATACAAAGTTGCGATTTTCGAGCTGAAGATGCGGAAGTGTACTTCGCGTACTAGACTTGTACTACAAAGTTACGATTTTCGATCTGAAGATGCGGAAGTGTACTTCGCGTACTAGACTTGTACTACAAAGTTGCGAATTTCGAGCTGGAGATGCGGAAGTGTACTTCGCGTACTAGACTTGTATTACAAAGTTGCGATTTTCGAGCTGGAGCTGCGGAAGTGTACTTCGCACTAGACTTGTACTACAAAGTTCGATTTTCGAGCTGGAGATGCGGAAGTGTACTTCGCGTACTAGACTTGTACTACAAAGTTGCGATTTTCGAGCTGGAGATTGTACGAGTGTACTTCTGCGGAAGTGTACTAACTTGCGTACTAAGACTTGTACTACTTGGTTGCGAGGATCGAGCTGGAGATGCGGAAGTGTACTTCGCGTACTAGACTTGTGCTACAAAGTTGCGATTTTCGAGCTGGAGATGCGGAAGTGTACTTCGCGTACTAGACTTGTACTACAAAGTTGCGATTTTCGAGCTGGAGCTGCGGAAGTGTACTTCGCGTACTAGACTTGTACTACAAAGTTGCGATTTTCGAGCTGGAGCTGCGGAAGTGTACTTCGCGTACTAGACTTGTACTACAAAGTTGCGATTTTCGAGCTGGAGCTGCGGAAGTGTACTTCGCGTACTAGACTTGTACTACAAAGTTGCGATTTTCGAGCTGGAGCTGCGGAAGTGTACTTCGCGTACTAGACTTGTACTACAAAGTTGCGATTTTCGAGCTGGAGCTGCGGAAGTGTACTTCGCGTACTAGACTTGTACTACAAAGTTGCGATTTTCGAGCTGGAGCTGCGGAAGTGTACTTCGCGTACTAGACTTGTACTACAAAGTTGCGATTTTCGAGCTGGAGCTGCGGAAGTGTACTTCGCGTACTAGACTTGTACTACGAAGTTGCGATTTTCGAGCTGGAGCTGCGGAAGTGTACTTCGCGTACTAGACTTGCACGACAAAGTTGTGATTTTTGAGCTGGAGATGCGGAAGTGTACTTCGCGTACTAGACTTGTACTGCACAGTTGCGATTTTCGAGCTGGAGATGCGGAAGTGTACTTCGCGTATTAGACTTGTACTGCCTGCCAAGTTTCGCTTTTCGAGCTGGAGCTGCGGAATTGTATTTCGCAATTTTCGGGCTGGAGCTGCGGAAGTGTACTTCGCGTACTAGACTTGTACTACAAAGTTGCGAATTTCGAGCTGGAGCTGCGGAAGTGTACTTCGCGTACTAGACTTGTGCTAGAAAGTTGCGATTTTGGAGCCGGATCTGCCAAAGTTCGAAAGCACTGTAAAACGATGAGGTCTCCCCCAAAAACGATGACGTTAAAAAAAGTACTAAGGCCAAGTAAAGGGTTTCGTCCGCTCCTCATATGTTTTGTTTAGGATTTACTCGGTCAATGACACCAGTTGGTTGTGAAAAGCATCGCTGCAAGGCAAACATATATGTTGAAGCCGCCAGGGCAAATCATCCGAGATGCAGCCAGCTCAGGGTTTGAGCTAAGATAGCAGACACACACAAATAAGTAGCACCTTGAGACAACGCTACCGGTGCGAGAGCTCGGAGAAAAACTCGAGGGACGCTCCTTGCGATGAGCCCTGACGCAAGCAGTGCCCCCAGCTTTACCTTGTCGCAACTGACCTGAATCAAGCAAACAGTAGCCAAGTTCGCCTCGCGAATCTGGCCTTTTCGCAGCCAATAATCATTGCGTCACTTTTTTTTGGGTGCAACGTTAAAGCATTGATCTGCCTCTGAACAGCGAGTGTAAGGTGAACGTTGTCAGGTCCATATGTCAGCTTGCTTTGTATCATCATACACCTGCAGTTTCCACCAACCCCGTTTACTTGAGTGATTTGCAGTTGCTTGGTTTTTAGGTTCTCCCAGATCTCCTTGTTTCCCAAACAGTTACTTGGCCAATTCAGATTGAAAGCTGGCATCGTAGGCCAAGCTGGTGGGGAGCGACAGCGTGGCCTTCGACCGCTTCGGTGGAACTGTGGCCATCTCCGATGGAACCGCCCGACTCCTTGCCAGAGATCCAAACTTATTCCCCAAATTCCAAAGGAGCAGGGGCACTAACTTGACTCGGACGCGCTTAGGTCGTGGTGGGAGCTGTTGAAGCCGAGGACAACGGAGCAGCCTACATTTTTGAGAGGACGGGCTACGCAAAGCGAATCAGACACGTTCACTTGCGACCGACCTTGATGTCCTGGGCAACCTGCTTGCGTGATCTTTCCTTTGTGTTCACAGGTTTTGCGGTTCCTGTGGGCGTTGATTCGTTTGAGGACAGGATAACCAAACGGTGGCCACTGTGGAACTCGGCCGTGCTTCAACCAACTGCGGAAATCATGGGGCTGAAAGCCCGTTTGCGTGGCAGACAGTTTCGCCGTGGCCAAGCTGGCCCGAGACGCAATCGCCCTCGCAGGAGGGCTGACACGTATGGCCCGCTATGCGCCAGACACATAGCAGGCGTAGCACATAGCAGCAGCTTTTTTCAAACACGTTTCGACTTTGCATTTGCATGTCGCAAAAGGGCCGCCAGCGCTTTCGCACTGGTAGCGGAGCTTGCTCCGTGGCCCGCGCCATGGCCGGCGGGGATGCCGTTCCATCCCGAGCTTTCTGGAGGGATGATGAGATCATCTGCGATCGGGACGGCATCCCGCACTTCACCGGGGTCCAGCCGCACCTCATGAAGGAGTACCGGAGGAGGGTGCTCTTCGCCTTCAGTCACCTGGATGAAGATGAGGAGGCGGCTGGCCTGAAGAAGAAGCAGCAGCGCTTTGCCAAGCGCCTGATCGATGGGCTCCACGGAGAGGCCTGGAGAGCGGTGCAGAGCATCAAGCGCGAATCGGTAACAGGGCTGGGCAGATTTGCAGGACCTGGATGAGACCTCTGCTAATCTGCTGGCTGACTCTGAAGGGCTGTAGTTTGTCTTGCGAGGACAGACGAGCCATTTTTACTGGCCAACAAGAGCACAACCAGGAGGGCATCGAGCAGGCGCTGCGGGTATCCTTCTTCAACCTGCATGACAAGGAGAAGGACGTGAGTTTTCACCGCAGTGCACTGTTCCGGAAAGGGAAGGTGGAGGAGGCTCAAACAGCCGGAGGAGGAAGATGATGGCCAAAGCCCATCGGTGGAGATCATCGAAGAGGCTGAGATGGAGAGCAAATGGGAATCCAACATGGGTGCCTCTATCTACAACGCCTTCATCGCGATGGATGATCAACGCAGGACCTACAAGGATGACAGATGCAGAAGGAGGGCCCGCTGTGCATCTTGTGGTCAAATCGGCCACTGGGCCGGTGATGCAGCCTGTCACAAGCCGTCAACAAAGAAGGGTTCAAAGGGCAAGCGCAAGCCAAAGATGGCCTATCTGGCCATGGCGGAGATTCGTTTCTTCACCCTGGATGAGGAGTCGCAGGACGAGGACGCCTACTCCTGGAGGAGCCCAACCGCATGGACCAGAGGAGCGGCCTAAGGAGGCGTAAGACAACAGCCTACACAGGAGATGACGACTTGATCGAGCAGGTCCTCGAGCGCGGCTATATGGCGAGTGCCAGTCATGATGGCACAGCTCAAGGATGTCCCCAACCGCGCGGAGCTCAGGAAATTATCATCCCGAACGTCAAGGGCGCGGTCTACGACATCGAGGTATCTTCGCTGGTCGAAGCTCGGCCCAATAAGCTTCAGATGATGAAGGACCGGGGTCCAGACCTCTGGCAAGATGGCAGACCTACTGGAGCGTTTGGAGAGCTTCTACCGCGGGGAGGCTGTGTTGAAGAAGGGCTGCGCCAAGCAGTTCTTGAGGTTGCGGCTCGGTTCAGACATCCCGAGAGGCAAATGGATGCATGAGCCAGAACCGCATATTTCAAAGCTATCCTCAAGGCACCAACACCTCATCGACAACCAGCGCTCCGATGGGAAAGGCAACACCTACGACCACAGCGGAACTACGGTGGCAACGGCTACGGCAAAGGCGGCGGAGATCATGGACCCCTCCGTTTCCCACGTAAGCGGCGGTGCATCCGTCGCCAGAGGACCCGAGTGTGCGTGACAAGAATTCATTTGCGTTTGCGTCTTCTTCGTCACCAACATCACCGGGCGGACATCATCAGCTTCAACCAGGTGATGGTCTGGACGAGAGCCGGGTGGCCTTGGTGGCTTCCGCAGTGCAGCTTGGCGACGGGCCTTTGAACGGACTCTGCCGCCTGAGTACACCTGTCAGCTGACGGAGCGCAGCAAGGTTTTCCACTTTGCGGATGGGTCCTCGACAGCGACTCGCGTTCCCGTTTGGCGGCTGCCGATTTTCCTTTGGAGGCAGACCAGGCGAGGTGCATAGCGCAGAGGTAGAGACGGGAATCTACACCCTTGCTGCTTTCATCAGGGGCATTGGAAGCCCTGGATGCCGTGATTCACTTGAAGGAGCGCAAGATGGAGCTCAAGAAGTTGTTCATGGCAATTCCACTGCACATCACGCGGACTAGGCATTTTGCTGTGGAGGTGGCCTATGACTCCAAGTCCGTGGCAGTGGAGAGTTTGGAAGCGACCTGCAAGGCTGACATCACTCGTGAAAACCGACAAGGGCAACTACTAGATCGGCGGCGGAAGGAGCTAGATCGGACCGAGGTTCGGCTGCGGGCTCAGGACCGCCGCACCTGGGCTGCTCTCAAAAGAGACTACACGCTGGCGGAGGAGTTTGTTACGGGCGGCTTCCAGCGGTCGATGGCTTTCGAGCCCTACGGTGGGCACTTCGGGGTGACGAGAGTGGCGTCACAAGAGTTTGGCTGGACAAACCTCTCGACCTTCTTGACGGTTATTATCTGCTTAGCGGAGGTGGTCAGCGGCTGGTGTGGCAAGTGTTGGACTGTCAGCAGCCCTACCTGGTCCTCATCGCCTTCGACTGCCGCATCTGGAGTCTGCTGAATAACCTGAATGCGAGACTGTTGGGCGGCGGACTTTGCGGCAGGTCGCTACTATCTGGTGGAACAGACCAAGCGGCGCTGCGAGCTGGAACTTCGACGGCATCTTAGACTACTAGAGAAGGTTCGGCTCGAGGCGAATGGCAAGTTCATCCTCAGCGACCAGTGCAGGTACGGCAAGGTGGACTGGGGACGGGAAAGCCGGTAAGAAAGAGAGCGGGGTGGCTCAGCAACAACGGGAAAGCAGTGCGCCTGCCCATGAAGCGCGCATCAGGTCGTGATCGGGAGCAACAAGATGGGCAACAGGTCCAAGCAAGCGGCAGCTTACCCCAAGGAACTATGTCGTGCCATTTGTCAAGGATTAGTTCAGAGCATGAAGATTGACTTCGTGGTTGCTGAACTTGACTGCCGCGGAGGATGAAGAGGACGAAGAGATGCCTTCAGTTGAGGCGGCGTCGCCTACGGAGTTGGATGAAGAGACAGAGGCGGAGGAACCGTGGTCCGGAGATCACTGGATGGTTGAAGGTAAGGACCAGGTCATCCGCATTCATGAAGTTCCACGGCAAGCTTTATTCACACCTCTGCGGGTGGCTCACCTACCCGGCGGAGGACAAGCTGGAGGATGATTGGACGAGACCCAAGAAGGCTAATCGGCAATTGGAGAAGCCCTGGACGGGACGCACCATTTTCAAGTTGAAGGCGGGTGGTCCAGCGGCAGCAGCAAGTTCACAGCCAGACGTTCGGATCCTCAAGAGGCGGAGAGCAAGGACAAGACAGACGTTGGAGAAGGGTGAGGAGCTACAAGCGCTTCTCAAGCGGACCCTGGGAAAGCCTGGAAGACATGATGGCTGGTGCGTGATGAAGCTCGACGGCGATTTGGGCAAGGAAGCGTCCTTCGCCATGAAGGTTTTCGCGAGGTCCAGGCGAGCGCTAACTACGTGCGGAACTAGACAGCCTTTCAGAAGGCCGGCGTTGAACAGGAGGACTTCCTCTTTGGTGTCAAGCGCAACGACTTCTGGGACAGGTACCTGGCCTTGACGGATGGCGAGCATGCTTTGGCGGCAGCGCCGGGAGCCCAGCCTGCCGGACAGAAGAAGGGCCGGAAAGAGGTGAAGCTTCATGACTTCCCAGCAGAACAGCAGCAGCTTTTCAACGGCCCGGGCGGTTCCGACGAGAAGGAATGGAATGTGAAAGGCCGCGCGCGATGTACTCTCACCAGAAGAGAGCCAGGACATTCGCCAGCACAAGCGCGAGCTCATCATTCCAACAAGATGGGTAAGAACAAACAAGAATGAGAGCATCCACAACGCCGACTTCCTGGCAAAGTCCCGACTGGTTCAGGGGTTCAAGGACAGATCCTTGGGACAGTGCCGGAGGGATGCTCCTACGGCCTCGCATGCAGAGAGTTTGTGCCTCAGCGTTTGCTCCTACATGCAGTTCATCTTGCTGTCCAAGGACATCAAGAACGCCTACTTCTCAGGGAAGGATGTCGGAAGGGAGATTTACCTGAGCAACCTCGTGGTGTTGAAGGCGAAGAAAGCCATCTATGGCTTCTCCGAGGTGGCAAGATTGTTTTGGCTGGCTTTGAAGGAGCACCTCGTCAGCGACGGCTGGAAGGAGACCAGACTGGAGCCTGCCCTGTTCCACCAGCAGGTTAATCAAGAGCTGAAGGGCATCCTCGTCACGCATGTGGACGACCTGGAGGGTGGCGTCGCAAGTGATTACTTCGAGCACGTTCGTCTAAGGCCCTGGAGTTCGCCACCAACCACGTGAAGAACTTCATCTTCCGAGGGCGCGAGGTGAAGCAGCGTGACGACGGCAGCATCGACGTCAGCACATGAATAAGCTGCACATCTCCAAGGAGAGGAAGAAGCAGCTGGAGGCGAAGGAGAAGAAGCAACTGGAGAGTTTGGGTGGAGAGCTGAACTGGATCGCGCGGCAGCTGCGGTGTGATCTGGCTTATGAGAATGGCTGCATTCAGAGGTGCAAGGCTGAACCCTGCGCGGCTGACCTGGTGAGACACATCACCCAGGTCAAGCGGGCGGCCAACTTCCGGATGCGCCACTGGCCGGATGTGAGTCTGGAGACGGCAGTTCTCATCCACATGCCAATGGGACCCCCGAGCACGACGAGTCCAGTGTTGGTGGGTACTTCCTCCTGCTGGCCAACGACGGTGCGCGCCAACATTTTGTCTTTTCAGTCGTCTCAAACAAGGCGGGCGTGCCGAAGTACTTTAGCGGCGGAGGCAGCACACTTGGCGGAAGCAGTGGAGGCTGGAGACTGGTTGGCGGTGCTACTTCATGAAGCCTCAAGCAGTGGGAGAAGGTGGTGGAAGCTAGACCTCGAGCAGACGTCGCAGAAGCTCGGTTGGTCTACGACTACTTGCAGAAGGACTCAGCCACCATGTCCACGGACAAGCGGATGGCGATTGAGGGCGCCTTGCTCAGGGAGACCGTCAGGAGACCCAATGCCCACGTGAGGTGGATTGACGGCGAGCAGAACATGGCTGATGTCTTGACCAAGGCGAATCGCGATAAGACCTGAAGACTTTTCTTCGTGAAGGCCAACTTTGCCTGGTCCAGACGGAGGCAAACAAACAGAGCAAGGAGCTGAAGAGAGCTCAACGTTCCCGGCGGTCAGCCGACCCCACGAAGGAAGAGATGCGGCAGCGGCGGAACGCTGCAAGGCGAGAGCAGCTGGCGCAGGAGGTGGCAGCTGAAGATTCGGAGGGCAGCCAGGTCCACGGCGACAAAGAAAAACAAGTGGATGCGCATGGCTTTTGTAGCAAATCGGAAGTGTGTTGAAGAAACGCTTCGAAGTTCAAGTGCCTAGTTTTCACCTGTCACCTTTCACGCGATGCGTGCTGACTCCCTAGTGAACCCGCAGTCTTGCTTCCATTGACTTTGTAACAAAACTGTAAGAGGCACGGGTTCACGCCTTGGCCACGCCTGGCCTTGCTGTATACTTGGCCAATCTCGCTGTAGGCTGCGCCAGTAATTAGCGGTCAACGAGCTGCATTGCCGTGGCGAAGCAAGAGGGAACCTTTCTCGTCCGCCGTTATTATTTTCTGGGCCTGCGGCCTCTAGCCGGCTACGCCTCTTTGAAGTTATACCATGTCATGTCATGTTTTCTGTATGAGAAACGTATCCTGTGCTATGATATGGCTGGTTAGGTTATGCCTGTTGCCCACCTTAACCCCAGATAATGCCGGGGATGCCGGCTTTCTGGGCGCTAGCCAGGACCCAAGCCAGAAGGCTGACATGGGGTCGCGCGCGCGCGCGCCAGAGGCCGCAGAAACAGCAGCCCAAAAAGAACAGCCCGCAAGCCAGCCCGGAAACGCAAAAGCAACAAAACACCGTAAATAGCAGCGCTTAGTGGCTGGGGTCGCGCGCGCGCGCGCCAAAAGGCCCGAACACCAGCGCAAAAAAGCAGCGCGCGAGCCAGCCACAGCAAAAGCAAAACAGACAGAACAACAGCCCACCGCTCAGCACAGCAGTTTTTGACGGTATTTACAGCGTTTTGTAGAGCGCGGACCCAGCATCGCCGGCATGCCCGGCAG